AAAAGATCCACAGAGGACACCATTGACCACGTCCTGCACACCACCCTCAGCCACGTGGACAAGAAACAGGGTAACTATGTGAGAATGCTGTTTGTTGATTACAGCTCAGCGTTTAACACAATAGTGCCCAGCAGACTGTTCACAAAGCTGAGGGATCTGTGGTGTCTGGGATGGAGATGGACATAACCCTGTGTGATGTGTGATTCGCCTAATAGCACACGTAACAATCTGGCAAACATTATAGTGTTATATTCAATCAGTAAACTCGTACCTTAAAGCAACAGGATTATAGGCCTATTTTAATTGCTTTAAAAAGCAGGAGCAAGTTACGTTCATTAGTCTTATAATCTGTAAAGTTTCTTTTTTTTGGATAAGACACTTTTGATCTCTGACTTTAGCCTTTGAGGCAGTGAATCCTTCCAGGCATCATTAACAACTTCTGAAAAAGGGACCAAAGAGAGAACGGTCGAAAGGACAACCTCAAGGAACGTCCCAGGTCGTTCCCTAAGCAACAATCTTCAAAGCCAGTGCAACAAGGCACTTTTTAAACTTTGTCAACAACTGCACCAATAAAAAAGAAGGAAAATATCCGAGTTCTGGGGTAAAGAGTACGCTAAAGGAGAAAGTGAGACTGATTTAATGGTGATCTGGTGAGGGCTGGAGGAAGTGCTTGAATCATGGCTTTAAAGTATCTTTAGCTATCAGCAGATAAGGCCATAAATATACCATAAATTACATCTTTTGGATTTTTAATATTAACGTTATGGAGGTGCCACTTATATGCTCTGGGTGAAGAGCTGCAGTTTATAAAGGTACCACATGTCATTTGGTTTATCAAGTGGAAAATTATTGTTGGTTCATTTTAAATTGGAATGGAAACGCCTCCAGATGCCGCCTACGCCCCTCAATGAAATATCCTGAACACACACACAGGTGGAGACAGGACCCCCTCGCTAACTCATCCAACCGCTTTATGCGTTGTGACGGAGCTGACGGCGCACTGGCACATCCTCTCGTTTCGCACAGACTTCAGAGGCAGTTTATTCCCAAACTCTAAATAACCTGCGGGGTAAAGCAGAGGGAGGAGGACGGCACAGTAATCAGGGTGAGAGGAAAAATAAATAAATAAGAATTCAGTGAGTCGTTCTCCTTCTGTTTCCTCTCACTGCAACCAGCCTGAGAAATTAAACCTACACATGGAACACAAAACACAGAGGGCTTCATCTTGACATGATGGTAATTATGTTTCTAAGATGGGGGAAAAAAGAAGAAGGGAAAAAAGGCTAATCGAAAGCAAAGCCATTTTGCAAACGAATCAAAGTGGCTGCGAAGATGCCCGAGCTGATACCGGGAGAAAAGCTCAATCAGGGGGCCAAACAGTCGTGAACGCCTCCTTTTCATTTCTGTTTTAGTTTACCTCTTATGAGTAAGTACATGGAAATAAATGGTTGGAAGAAAAAACCTCCAATAGACAATCAGGGAAGAGCAGAAAGCAGACAGGACAAAACACACACAGGAGAGAGTCCCAGTGTTGCCAACTCGTCAGTCAGGAAAATCGCTATTGACTGTCCTAAAAGTCGCTAGAAGTCGCTAAATGACGCCATTGCCTAATTTCCATAATTGGTCATGCTTACGTTATTGTAACCCAGGTTGTAGGAGAAAGAAATAACACCATGAGAGAGACATGAAGTGAGTAAAAAACACGCTAAAAGCACTTTATATTTAGAACTACAAATTAAATTTCTTTTAGCAATTATCGTTTTTTTAACGTCTCAATTCCAACCCTGCTCCTCTATCTGGACTTGGGACCAGGAAAAGTGAAACAGGCACTCTGGTGGAGTTACACACACACACATGGACATGTAGGGGTGAACATCTCCTGCTCTGTTTTTTTAAAGAAAAATCTGAACAATAGAAACATGTCAGTTATCTGACCAAGTGAAAAATAACTGTATGGTTTACACATGACACGTGACTCCCTAACTGCTAATTAAATTCAAATTTTCATAGACTTAAACTTAATTCTGTTAAATGAGTACTATATTAACTATAGTCAGAGGTCAGGGAGCAGGACTGATGTTGTTTGTTAGCTAGCTCCCACATTAATGTTGCAGCTCTTTTATTAGCCATAGCCGCTACCTGAGAGATGACCACTTTGGGTAATTGCAGATTAACATTCATGACAACTGTTCAATACTTTCATGTTGTTGAAACAGGAGCTAAAATGCTCTATTGTACTATGAGGTCTTTTAGATGTGATAACAGTGCATCAGTGCTCAGGTCTAACTTGGTGATGTAAATCTGCCTAACCAGACAGTTAACTGTGTGTGTGTTGGCTATCATTCACGATAGCCAACAGGCTACTGCAGCTGCTGCCTGTTTCATTAACAGGCGAGAGAGATTTGAGATATTTACCACCTGAAAGGTAATCTGGTGTCAGACAGCAGGCGGTTGTCCTGTGGTGCAGTCTAGCATTATTCAGTCAGGGCACTGAAGACCACTCAAGTAACTGATTAGTGGTGCTAATGATTTATTCTTAACATTTAGAGTTACAGCTTCTAAACTGGTGTCCAGCAGTTTCATTTAAGAACTTTTAATAGCATTTTAATATTTAATTATTGCTATCTAATTAATGTGAAAAGAAAAAAACACTGAAACACACCACATTTAACTCCTCTGTCCAATCGGGACTGTCAGGCTACGAGCATGAGGTATGGTTGTATAGTTTCAGACCACTGGGATAGCCAAAAACTTATTATTTTGCTGCTGCCATTAACCGTTTGGTGGGAAATAGGATTATGACACTTTTGTGTAACTGATGATCTCTCTTTTGTCTTTGTTGTGGGAGGAGCCTTAGCGAGTTCTGATGGGAGCATTGCTTTAATGCAACTGTGGCTCATGGAAGGCATCCAGATTGCAGTTTAATAATACAAAGTACTCAGCCTTGTTGAAGTTGCTGGCTGCAGTGCTGGAGGGTGCCCTACCTGGCAGCTCCATTGTCCTACTGGGATATTTCAATGCTCATGTGGGAAACGACAGTGAGGGCTGGAGGTGAGTCATCTAGAGCAGGGGTGTCGAGCTCCAGATGTGTCCGTGATCCAACACAGCTGATTTAAATGGCTAAATGACCTCCTCAACATGTCTTGAAGTTCTCCAGAGGTCTGGGAATGACCTAATCATTTCAGGTGTGTTGACCCAGGGTGAGATCTAAAATCGGCAGGACACCGGCCCTCGAGGCCTGGAGTTCCCCACCCCTGTTCTAGAGGAACAGCTTGCCTGATCTGAACCCGAGCAGTGTTGCATCATTGGACTTCTCTGCAAATCAAAGTTTGTCCTTGATTAACACCATGTCTGAACACAAATGCATTCTTTAGCGCACAGCAGAGTGGCATCAGGACACTCAGTTGCAGGTCGATGATTGTTTCTGTAATAGACCTGTGGCTGTGTGTTCTGGACATTTAGGTGAAGAGAGGAGCTGAGCTCCTGATGACCAGCTGGTGAGGAGTTGGGCAGGGACACCCAAAACATACAGAGAAGGTAGAAAAATCTGGCAGAGGCTGGGATCCATAGGATTGTTAACCCCAACTTCAACAGTATTCTGAGGAAAGCTGGTGACATCAGCCTCTGGACATGGACCCCGTTTACAAACCTCAAGGTAGCTGTCATGGTGGTAATCCCTGAATGGGTTGGTGGACACTGGAGGTGAAGGGAGCCATCAAGCACTAGAAGGAATCCTGGTTGGGCTTAATTAGCCTGTGGGACACTGGATGCAACTGACCTGTGCTAAGAGGCCACGCAGAGTGTTGCGCTCTGGCAGATGTTGAAGCAAAACCTCAGCTGTGGAGTTTTTGAACTTCCAAACAGGACAGAGCTATTACAGCAGTTGCAGTAATTGAAATCTTCCATTTGTAGTTTTTCTATCTCATTTGTAGTTTTTTCTATGCTGGTGACTGTTTCTTTTGTAAAGCTAGACCCGAACCCTTGTTGGCAGATGCTGCCTCTGTTACTTTTTGGGGGAAATGCAGCTTTAAATGCAAGTTTTAAATGTAAAGATTCAAGATGTCTACAGTTTGTGTTATCCACAGACCTAACAGCATTTACCCCAAAACTGCTCCAAGCCAAAATTGTAATTTATTTTAATTTTAATTCAAATCTGATTCATCACCCAGTCCGAACGGGCCCTGATTCAAAAGCTGTCGTTTTTAATTAAACACACTAGTCGGCCACCTGTAAAACTGCAAACATCTGATCTACAAAGACATGTTGTGAGTCTGGCACATTAAAATTTTACATAAATGACTAAAAATATGCAGACATCAATTCAAAAGCAACAGCCGAAGAAAAACAAAGTGCTGTGAGTCCGATGCTACAGAAAATCATATAACAATGCAGCATCGATCGTATGGGAAGCTTCCTCAGAGAGCTGCTCCTCTGAGCTAAATTTGTACCCAAACTGCTTCAAGCACACATAAATAATTTCCACTGCAGCTCTATTAAGAGGAAGAAGAAGAAAAATAACACCATGTGACAGCCAGAGGGGATAAATACCTTGGATGCTAATTTACACAACATAATTATGCAGTGACCTTTCTGATGTGGGACAACATGTTCTAGAGGTGTTTGCTGGGTAAAGCACCACAGCTGCTGCTGCTGAACATTTTAGATTTCCTGTCATGTCACACAAACAAGACAACAGAAAAAAAAATATCACAAAACCAGTCACGTAAACGCACACGCACAGGAATCAACAAAGAGCCAAAACAATACATTCACCAGTTCCAAGCAGCTCATCTCTGGATTACATCCAAGAATTTGTGAATCTGGTCTCTGAAGATTTCTCTGCATCTCATCAGATATAAACTGAATCCTATTATGTCCCCACACAGCTGATTTTACACCAACTATTCAGTCGTTTTCTTCAGAGACTCTATGCAGGTCCACACACACTCACTGACGGGCTGTTTTACAGGCAAAAATAATTAATTAAAAAGATTCCTCACCAGATTGGCTAATGTAAATCCCCGTGTGGGGTAAAGTGATGAGAAGTGACGGAGAGGCTCTTCAGTCGAAGTCAACAGGAACCATCCGGGGAAGATCCAGTCTGCAGAAATAAAAATAGCTATGAGATGACAGCAGCTGTATGACAGGACTGGAACAATTACTAATATTCAGGCAATCTTATAAGATACTAAATAATAATCTTTTTTTTTAACAGAAATGAACAGAAAGAGTGAAGATTTCCTCTGAGCTGCTCAACCAAAAGCATCTGAATATCAAACAGCAAAAGCTACAGACTGAGCTGTCAATCACGCAGCAGACAGAGCTTCTCATTACTGTCATTGCTCAAGTTGAAATTCACAAGGTTTTTCGGTTGCCAGCGCTCTGAAACCATGTCTCCTCTGTCGATCAACCTGCACAGGAGTGTGAGATTGTGTATTTCTTTAATTCGAGGCTAAATACTACATTACTTCCTGTGCATGCATGGGTTCAGCAGTGCAGCAGCTCGTCTTTTTAAGCAACACGGCTCAACAAGGACTCCTGTGCCATTTCAAACATCAAATGCAAAACCTTTTCAAAAAAGTCAATAACTAAGCCATTAGTACTAGTTACATACCCTCTTTCTTTGCCCAAATGACATTAAACTGAATCTTTTCAGTCATTTCTACCTCTCCTTTGCAGTGTTTCTTCCGGTGCACTGAAAGCTCTCCAGAACAAAGAAGACTCTCCAGAACAAAGACGACCCTCAGCTGCATGGATTTTTCAAACAGTCTTAGCGATTGTATCTCATTTGCCTGTTTACCACAGAACATAAATTATTTTCAGTTGAATATTCTTTATAGGTAATAATTTATATGTAGTCATACTGATGGTATATGGTATTTGATGGAGATCTACGGGGACTGTCATGATACGTTTTCTTTATTTGTAATACATGTAGTGCAGCATTTTTGTTTGGAAATACTAAATGTTCCTTCCATCCATACATCCGCTACCTTCACATGGTGGAGGGGCTTGTGTGTCCCAGGGATCTCAGGGGCTATGTTGCCAGGGGGCTTTTGCTCCCTCGTACAGCCTCCCATGGCAAACTGGTCTCAGGTGATGGACCAGACAAAGAGAGGATTCAAAAACCCATGTGAGTATAAGATCTAGGGAACAATTCACCCTGCCCAGGATAGGGTTACCAGAGCCCCACCCTGGAACCAGGCCCAGGGAGGGTGCCCGAGGGCGAGCGCCTGGAGACCATGGGACATGGGGCTACTACCTGTAGGGTGGGCCCATGCGGCGGCCGGGGGCAGAGACCCTGTTGGGCCAATCACCAGCTACCGAGACTAACGATTGGGAAATGGAATGTCACCTCTCTGGTGGGGAAGGACCCAATCCACCGCGTGAGGTTGAGAGGTACCAGCTCAATGCACGGCTTGGGCTCCAGAACCCTGGAGAGGAGCTGGACTCCCTTAGTCTAGAGTTGCCCTTGGCGAGAGGCGGCAGGCTGAGGTAGGCATCTTAGTATCCCCTCGCCTTGCTGCCTGTACGTTGGAGTTTTTCCAGTGGACAAGAGGGTTTGTTCCCTGCGCCTTTGGGTCGGGGAACATGTCCTGACTGTCGTCTGCACCATTAGACCTGCATTCTCTTAAATGGCCACCAGGGAGCAATAGCTGTAGCTGCAAAAGTGCCCAGACCTCTATAAACATTTACGGTTTCAGTTACTTGTTTTGGATCACACTGATTAAAATACAAACAGATTTTTTCCCCTCAGTGTCAGAGAGTAAGTTTCAGAAATAAAAAATTGGCTAATGACTTCGAATTCCTTTAGCCAATGAGCTTGTGTTTTCAGTCTGATCCAATCGCAAAGGTGACATGAGTGATGTCAAAGTAGCCACCGGACCTTTTATACCGTGGAAGTGGGATGGCTGTCCTAGACTAGCTCTGAAGCTACTTTGAAGTTGCTAATGGAAGAGCAGAAGATGACCAGCATTATTCTTGGCCTTGGCCCAAATAACTACATTCTCAAATGAATTAAGCACTTAATAATGGGCCAAAACAAAAATCAGCAAGCAACAATAAAACCACAACGACTTAAAAAAAAAAAAAAAAATATTTAAAAAAATGAATGTAAATGCATTTTAAGATATCATTTTCCTTAAATGTAAATGGTAAATGGCCTGTATTTATATAGCGCTTTACTAGTCCCTACGGACCCCAAAGCGCTTTACACAACCAGTCATTCACACACACATTCACACACTGGTGATGGCGGCTACATTGTAGCCACAGCCACCCTGGGGCGCACTGACAGAGGCGAGGCTGCCGGACACTGGCGCCACCGGGCCCTCTGACCACCACCAGTAGGCAACGGGTGAAGTGTCTTGCCCAAGGACACAACAACCGAGACTGACCAAGCCGGGGCTCGAACCGGCAACCTTCCGATTACAAGGCGAACTCCCAACTCTTGAGCCACGATCACCCAAGATCTTGTTGAAATGTTTATTTCAGACTTTTTGATCTGTTTGAACTGTATCCATCGTTGCCTTTTCCATAAAGAATGCCTGATGAAAAAGCTCAGGAGCACTGGAATGGATCAATGGTGCCTTCCAATCAGACTGATTTACTGAGATAAAAACATCACAGGTTATTGCTGTGAGGTGTGTTGTGTAAAACGTGACTCCAAGTCTGTGGGCAGGGCTTACAATGGTTGACTTTCGGGAAGGGAACACTGTGGGGTGAAGCTCTGGAGGGAAACAGGGGGACAGAGAAGCAGACAGGACGAGTGAAAAAAGAAGAGGGTAAAGAATTAACATACACAAAAAAATCTTGTCTTTCTTTTGTCCTCCCTGGCATTGCCTGGGCTCCATCCAGACGGCAGCTCCTCTCTTCTGTTGTATAGAACAGAGGGAGGCGACACGACGCCTGTCAAAAATCCGAGAAATTCTGCCCCGGAGCCCGATCTTAGCCAGAACCTGTGACAAACAGTCTCCTCGCATGCCGACAGTCTAATCTGCACCAGCATCAGTGAGGATGTGGGGGGGCTAGGATCATCCTGAACCACAGGAGGTCCCACACTGTTTTTACTGCAGCTGATAGCTGGAGTGATGCTGTTGTTTGTGTGCTAACAGCCCGTCTGATGGCTCCAGGAGCACAGCCAGATTGGCTCTTAGTGTGAAACAACAGCAGCCATTAAAGCTCCTCCATACGGCCTGGGGCGAGAGGAGCAGGAGGAGGGGGCCATCTACCCCAGACTGAGTCCAGCCCAGTGTGAGACGGAGCTTGTCTTTTTGTTTTAGTTGGTAGTAAACACAATCAAGGGATTCAGCTTAGTTTGCATGGCCTTAGCTAATCTGATTATTTGATTCTTCTTACAGCAATGAAGAGATTTCTGGAAAGAGGAAATGTGCTCTTCTTCCCCACGGCCGAGGCTTAGCAGAGTTTAGCACATGCAGACGCACCGTGGTGCATACTCTCTGTGTGAGTGCACAGACACGGGAGGAGGATCACTGCTCTTATCTGTCACGTGCAAATCTTAAATCCCCAGACACAGACATTGGGGGGCAGGTAAATATCCACTGTAGGCATGCCTCAGGGGTCCCCCCACCTGCTGTATAAAAATAGCTGTTGGATGATTTCTGACCCCTGCATGCGAGAACACACACAATGCCAGAAATACACATCTTCAGCTTCTTAACATGGACAGTTTGTCATTTTTCAAGTAAACTCAATGTAATTTTTAGACTTGACATAAACTTAAATGTTCATTTAGGCTTTAGGGGAAAAGAAACAAACCATGGCAGTTTCTTAAAACAAATTATTAACAAGTAAGTCAGATGTGTGTTGTACCAGCCTCGAGT